AAAACATAGTGAGTTTGAGGGGATATGAAATGGGATAATATGCATTTATATACATAGAAAGAAAGAAAAACTTGGCGTCTGATGCAACTAGGATGATGACAAGCGATTGCATGAGGTAGGGAATAGATAGAGTTGTACTTAGTAGGCTAGCTACCAGGGGCTGGTTTTGCTGATATAAGGTATTATATTACAAGGGATCTAATAAAAGGCGATATAAGCGCGCAAAAGTGTGGTATGGGAATCAGATGTGTAAGGGCTGGCGGGAATGGAATTCTGAGCTAACTGAGTGTTTATTACATGAGTTGGATATATACCAGGAGAAAAAGTGTGTACTTGAGAAATAGTCACCAGTCCCCGAAGCACTGCTATCAGCTGTAGTAGGTGGGTGAAGCATAGCGGTGAATAGTTTCGTGTCTACCACTGTGGGAAGTGAGTAGATGTATTCTGTTTGGATGACGTATTGATGGTGCGGTGCCAGTCCCCGAAGCACTGCTATCAGCTGTAGTCTGTAGGTGAAGCATAGCGGTGAATAGTTTCGTGTCTACCACTGTGGGAAGTGAGTAGATGTATTCTGTTTGGATGACGTATTGAGCTTTGGTGCGGTGTAGCCTCTGTCCTGACGAAAGCAGATACAACTATGCTCGCCGATGTAGGTCATGGGCATTGCAGAGTATATTCAGGCTATCCCAAGTGATCTTTCATTTTTCTTTCTTTTCTTTTTTTACAGATGAGAGTCCACTTGTATAACTATTTTCGTATAACCCTACCGAGGCGAGCCCAACACCAGCAGCAACAAACAGAAGTCAGCAGTACTTTTTTTGATTTCCTTCACAGTGGCATCCGTGGACGGTTACTTGTGAAACATTTCCACGAGTTCATGCTGACTATTGTGGTCCTTTCATCGGTAAATACTATGCCTTAATCCTTATTGACGCATATCCACGTTGACCTGAAGCTTTTCCAACTACGTCTCCAAGTACCGAATTCCCTCAGCAAGCACTGAGAAAAGTCTTCGGCCATGAAGGTGTACCAACTGTTTTGGTCACTGACAACGGCACACACTTCACTGCAAAATTCCTCGAGGAGCGGTTGAAGGGTCTTAGATGTCGACATCTGTTTACTGCTCCGCGACATCCCCAGTCGAATGGACTTGCTGAAAATTTTGTCCGAACACTAAAGTCTGCCATTATTCCACTCTCTCCCACTACTTTTGTGGAATTGGACCGTGGGATTGATAATTTTCTAATGCAATACAGGAACGCCGTCCATTCCGTTTCTGGGAAGAGTCCCGCGCTTCTATTTAAATCTCATTCGTTGCACACAAGTCTTGACTGTGCCAAAACGACTGATGTTAAATTTTACAAGGGTAATGATTTACGACCTGCTACAGGAATAGTACTTTCATCAGATGGCAATCAAATGGTCACAATTCTCGATTTGGATGATCTCTCTTGTCATCGAAGACACATTGACCAGGTTGAGTTCAATAGCAGAGGTCAGTCTGTAAACGGCACTCCTGCTGCTTCAAATACTAATGAGTCCTTTGTAGATGATCTTGTGGTATCTGATCAAAACGTATCTGAAGAACGGACAACCTGTGAAGAGTCTGAAGTTTTCATTCCGATAGGATCCGAAAGATTGCGGTCAAGACCACCACTGAACTATAAACGTCCACACGCTCATTCAAGGTGTGGCGGATGTGATGAACATGACTGCTACTCTATTCGTTGCTCTATTCATTATTCTCTTGTTTTAATATTCCATATGCTGTACATATTCGCCAATTCCAATACATACGTGCTGGTAGTTACGCTGCGTGCAATTCTGGATTCCTAGTTCTTCTGGTTATACCGGTTTGCTTACGAAACTCTATTATCACAATTTCTTTTAGAATAATTTAACAAGACTGCTTCCTCAGTCTTCCTCACATGATTCACTTCTTCATACTGCTAACATATTTTCCGAATAATTTGAAATTTCTGATCCGGACAGAGTAGCATCTTCTGCAGTAATTCGGGCAGCTGAATGCCAGCAATGAGTCTATCACGCAGCTGGTCTTCTAGTTGGGCACCGTAGCCACATTTGGCTGCCTGTGTCCGCAGCTGCAACACGGAAGCACGAACCGACTGAGAATGTCAGCGGGTCAACATACTGAACCTAGCTTTTTCGGCTGCTACGAAGTTAGTCCGTTTGAAGTGTTGAAGAACTTTTTTCTTCAATGCAGTGTAAGAAATGTCGATTGGAGATTCGGGATATACTAATTTTTGACCAAAGTATACGCCTCATTGCTAACGAAATGTAGGAAATATGCAGTGAGTTTCTTATCACCCATATCGGATTTTGTGAGGCACCATATGTTGAACCGTTCCGAATAATCCTTTACGTCACGCGCAGTTGAATTTACATCTAATGGTTCCATTTCGGCAGGCATGATGAATTGTTCCAATCGCGACGCCAAAATGTGAGAATTGAGTTTCGTACGTATATCGGTATAACCAGACGAACTAGAAATTTAGAATTCAGCGCAGCGTAACCACCAGCACGTGTGTATTCGAATTGGAGAATGTGTACAGCATATGGAATATTAAAACAAGAGAATAATGAATAGAGCAACGAATATAGTGGCAGTGATGTTCATCACAATGTTAATGCAAAATATTTGAAAAATATGTCCCCCGTTACTGTGCGATTGCCCCTGAAGCATTTTGGTTCTTGTTTACTTATACAAATCGCATGTCCGCCACCGTGTACCTCATCAGTCCCCTCAAATACAGGCCTCCCTGGACAATTCTGACGCGACCTGACCACTCGCCGGATCTCGCCAGTAGGCTAACTCGGATGCCATTGGATCCCATTGAAGTAAACTGGGATTGGTCGAATAGCCAACTGCCAGTCACTTATGAGCATCAGGTAGGTGCTGGTTACACACACCACATCTGGAGGTGCCCCTAACTTCCGGGATAATATCGCAGCATACTTCACATACGAAGTGCTAAATGCATTGTCTACCAAACCCTATGTACCTTTGATGATTCTTCTTATTCAGAGGGTAAGATCGAGAATGGCGTCAAAGTATATTCACCATGCCTATCTTGCGTCTTGACCCTGTGTAATGGATTTCGCCGGCAAACGTGTAAGTGCTTTCTCCCTCGGGACTACTTAGACGCTTCCTCAACATTTGCTTCTGCAGCTGAACGTAGTTCAGCTGTAAGAACTCTTGGCCAGCGGTGGCAGTGGTTACTGGACAAGTCCGAACCATGGTCATTCCGGTCACTAAGTTCGCGCCTCAACGACTGCGCTATCTCAGGCTATTACTACCATTTTGTGCGTTTTTTCATCTTCATACGTGACAATATTAACAGCGATTTAAATGTCGCCTGAAATAGGTTAAATAAGCCATATTAAGGTTTCGAACCCTATTGTTCGGGTTCATTGCTGTAGTAACGGTATTTTCCTCAGCTTAGTTCTCGGTCTGAGCCTCCAAGCTAGTGTCTCAGCTTAGTTCTCGGTCTGAGCCTCCCAAGCTAGTGTTCACGTCAAAACAACCAACAAAGGTGCACTAGGTCTCTTAACGCCCAAAACGAAGTCAAGAACAGTTGCACAGCGCTTCATATATATAGCGTAAGCGGTTATATCTTTCTGGAATTTCCGACGCGTTCTGGATGCGCCATTGGCAACCGGCATTTGGCCAATACTGGGTCATGATTGGCTTTTGGGTCCAGATTCTTGACCAATCAGATATCGCCTTGATGCCGGACCGGCAAGCGTACCGAACTCTGGGCCAACCTCGAGTGGGCCAGGCTTCTCGGCCGTAGCAGCGCCCAAAGACGTGCGGTATAGTGGGATCCGCGTCGATTCCTGCCTAACAATTGTGCACCTCAGTGAACATTGGGGCCGTACAACGCCAATGACGTCATTGATATCAGGGAACCTATACCAACATACATGCTTCTTTCAAGCCGATTAGTGAAAAGACTAAAGAATAACATTCTGCAGAGACCCTAAATAGCGAAGACCTGGGAAATACTTAGAGGGGAAACTGTTAATCAACTGGTGCGAGAACGGATTTTTGCGGATCAATTGATCCGCAAGAGCGGATTAATCCGCTCTTGCTCAGCACATTGAATGGAAAGGCGTCTTACCCGAATAACTGAGCACTTTGAGTGTCAATTTAGTTGACTCCTGCCAACTCAACCTCTGAATAGTCCGTTTGTATCTAAATGAAAAGTCAACACCAATGTCGTAGCGACAACGGAAGTTCCAATACAACGTATCGCATGGACCGAGTGGTTTATATCCTGCGCTCTCTAAAGACGTTGATAAAACCTCAGGCTAGTCGGGTGGTATTTCGGATGGGGAAAGAATACCGGAACGGTTCGAAGCTGGTCGTTATATTCAAAAGGAGTACACGGAAGTCGTGGTAGAACCACTCCGTGGTATCAGTTTAGTGACCATAGCTCCCAGGACGCTCTTTTTTCCCCTGTTTATGTTACTCTATAACCACGAAGTTCGTGTTCGCGAGTTGCCCGGCCCCTTAACACCTAGGCATGGTCTGGAGTGGATATGTCCAGAAGCGTATTGTCATCCTTTGCTTCACCGAAATACCTGCTACAATGTAGCCTGTGCTGGAGAAGCTCTATTCAGTACCTCGTGGTGGAGGTCGAGGTGTTTTTATCAAAGCAAAAGCGAGGCCGCAACATCCCTGTTACTGGTCCATTGGCAGTCCATCTAGGAGAGATGGATGCACCCAGATGCGAAACCGACAATGATAAATGAGCTCACCTGAGTCCAGAGGCCATTCTGGAGTTGCCAGTCACCTGTTTTTCGCAAGAGCCTTCCTTATAGGTTGTACTTGGTTATATAAAGACTAGTGTTGCACTAGGCATCTCGACTGCTTCTGTCTTGGCTTGGGGAACCTGACACTATCTCTGCCCTGGTGCTTCCTTCGGCTAGCATGACAGCAATGCTGACCCTATCTTCACACTCCATCAGGTTTTGGGGCAACGTCGTGTGTACAGATGACCCACAAAGGAAAGAAAGAAAGGAGGCGTTCAGCTGTAGCGCCCTTTCGGTGCCTAGCTGCCATGCCACCCGAAGGAAGCATGAGGGCTGGGATACTGCCAGGTCGCCCAAGCCTAGACAGGGGAAACGAGTGGCGGAGGTCGGATTCGAACCACGGACCTTCCGGTCAGTAAATTCGCGCTCTAACCACTTGGGCCATCTCGCCCCACAATCTAGGTGTTGCTTGACTTCGAGGGTGCGTTTGATTCTATAAATCGATCAATGTTCAACTGGTTTGCCCCCAGAAGTTTGAACATAATCCGCTCCCTATATTCACATACGTTCGGGCTTGTGAGACTGTATCGTGAGCTCTCCGAAGGCTTCCCTACAAAAAGGGGTTTTCAACAAGCATGTCCACTCCATTCTTACTCAACTTCACCACTGCTGAAATAACGAGGTGAACGCTGAAAGGTCTTCAAAACCCTGGTGTTTAAATCGTTTCTATTGAGAACGTTATTTATCTGGAGTGTGCATACGACATTGTCCTCATCTTTGGAGGCCAAGACGAAGCACAAGCCCTTTTGAGCAGACTGGCCACTGTCACACCATCTTTCGGAATGTGCCCAGCACCTTCAAAATACGAAGTCATGCTTCACAATGTACTGTCTCCGAACATACCCCATATAATTCAAGGCCACTCACTGGAAGTTGTGGGGAATTTTACATACCTCGGTATTTGTAGTGGCTCTGGCAGATATATCTAATGAAGTCACTGCAAGAATCTCAAGGGCTCAAATCATGTCTGCTAATTTGTATCAAAAAGGCATGCTACTGGGTGTTAGGGGCCCTACCAGGCTAATGTAGGGGCTGTGCTGTTGTATGAGTGCGAGACATGACCTCTGTGGACAGATGATTTGAGGCGTCTTCAGGCTTTTGACCGTCGATGCCTCAGAAGTGTTGTTTGTTTTGGATGGCATCAACAGCTTACCAACCTGATGATTAGCAGACAGGTATTTGGTTGTGCGGCAGGGACTTCAATCGGTGATCAGCACCAAATACGAAGTCATGCTTCACAATGTACTGTCTCCGAACATACCCCATATAATTCAAGGCCACTCACTGGAAGTTGTGGGGAATTTTACATACCTCGGTATTTGTAGTGGCTCTGGCAGATATATCTAATGAAGTCACTGCAAGAATCTCAAGGGCTCAAATCATGTCTGCTAATTTGTATCAAAAAGGCATGCTACTGGGTGTTAGGGGCCCTACCAGGCTAATGTAGGGGCTGTGCTGTTGTATGAGTGCGAGACATGACCTCTGTGGACAGATGATTTGAGGCGTCTTCAGGCTTTTGACCGTCGATGCCTCAGAAGTGTTGTTTGTTTTGGATGGCATCAACAGCTTACCAACCTGATGATTAGCAGACAGGTATTTGGTTGTGCGGCAGGTACTTCAATCGGTGAAAACATCAGCACCACCGACTACGATGGTTCGGTCATGTGCTCCACATGCCAAAACACTGTCTACCGAGACTAGTATTGTTCTCCGTGCCTCATTCAGAACGGCGCAAACCGCGAGGTAGACAATCACTGACTTAGCAGAAGGGCAGAAGTTTGGGTGCTGTTAATATTGTAACCCTTCCATCAAGAGATTCCGGGTATCCTGCCTATGCTTGGCTGGAGACATGCAAGCACTTGTGTTCCTGATCAGTGTCAATGGTTTTTATGCTGTCACTTTTTTTCCATCCTGTTTGATTGAGCGCTTGTAGGTGTATGCACTTCAGGACGCTTTAGATAGGCCAGCAGTAGGTTCCTTCGCTCATCCACTCTTCTCTTTTCACTCCAAAGCGTAAGGTGAAATTAGGCGACTCAATGTTTAGAGCGCTAATTTTCCGATCGGAAGGTCGGTGGTTCGAACCTTACCTCTGTCTCTCCAGGTTTGGGCAATTTGTCAGTATCCTAATCATCGTGCTTCCGTCGGGTGGCGTGGCAGTTAGGCACTGGGAAACTGCTACAGCTGAACGGCCTTTAGATGAACTTTATGGCTTTACGACAGTGAAGCATCAGTGTCAACACTGATGTTTCTCTCTCTGATGATGCAGCTAGCTACCGAACGGGTGTTACAGTTGAGCGGCTACTTTCTTTATTTCTTATTTAGTGTTACATTCAGCAAAAAACGGGGTGGCGCAGAGCACACAATCCCTAACAAATCTCCCACAATTCAATCCAACCGTCACGCAGAGACTGGACCTTACCGTGGTGTGACGGTTTGCGCACCTCAGCGATCCATTGAGCTATACTGGAGAGTGTCCCGCGACACTCACAGAGTCTCTCATACCAGGTTGGTCAAGGTTAGAGGCCTGGCCCTCCAGGTTGGGGGTTGGAACATGTGGCGACTTGTTCCGTAGAAATGGTAATGCATTTGCATTTCCCGCCAAACGGTGCCTTGCGGTTAGGCTTTTGAGCCAAAGGCTTTGGTTGAGGACCCTAATCGTCCTCCTGTCCAGGTGTGGGCGCCCTGGCAGTATCCCAGCCCACGTACAACCATGAATTGCACATACACAAATAAACTCATGCCACATCGGCCGTCGCGTGGTGCCATCAGCCGGGTCGCCTTACTTGCTGCATACAGCAGGGTGGGTAAGCGAAAACAGGCTACTTCTGACGCCTCCCTTCTCTCTCTTTCACATACTTTTCCTCCTCCCTCTCCCCACCCCATTAATAACTCTCTCCTTATAGGTCCAGCACTTAGGACTGATGACTCCGTTCGTCTTGCATCGGTTTTGCGTGCAGCATATGCTCGTCACATGGTGCCGACATCTTCAGGAATCTCCAAATCAGTCCTCAAGCCTCGACACCCACTCTATCTGGCCGCGTTCAATGTCCGCACTCTGAAGCAAGCAGGACAAC